AATCATTGTAGTTGTTTTCATGTACTTTGTTTACTGTCATAACAGGTTTGTTTCTGCTGACAGATTTTATTTTTCTTAATTACAGGTCAGTTTTTGTCTTACCATGTCTAGTAACTTTTGATTGGATAATGGACATATTGTACGATGAGTGTCTGAGTTTTGTGGGGCTTCTGTTTTTTCTAGAGAGTGTTGGTCTTTGTTCTGGCAAAGTTCTTTGCAGATCAGTTTGATTCCTTCAAGATCTACTTTTAAGCGTTGCTAGGCCCAGCTTTATTCCAAAGGTATTTCACCTACTCTGAATAACAGAAATTCCCAAGGACTCTTCACTTTGCTGTTTAGTGTTTAAATATTTCTCAGCCTTGTCTGAACTCTTTAAAGTATATATCTCCCATCTCCCTGGTGTCTGGCTGTTTTTTCCTCCCTTTTATTCCTCCCTACATTTTGTCTGTCCATATGAAATTTCACTTTTCTTATGCCTTGAGTCTCAGCAGAGACTCAAGCGAAACTCTGTATTGATTTCTGTAATTCATTTTCTTTATTTTTCCATCGGTCCTTCTTCCCCCTTTCTCTTTAAATTCTGCAGTACAATCTCAAGGTACCTTAGCTTTCCTGAACTCTTGTCTATGATTCTCCTAAGCTGCTGGGCTCTGTTTGGCTCTGTCTGATGATTGTATCCCTATTTAGAATCCACCTTCTAGTAGATAACACAGATAACTATTAAACTTACCTTGTTTGTTTCTTCATCATCATCATCATCAGAGGTCATGGTAATATACTACCTGTTATCTGCAAAGGGTTTTTCACACACAAACCATGTCGGCATTCAGCTTTTTAACAGTGGGACTTCATGTCTGTTCCTTGTTTCTCCTTTATTAAGACTAGAAAAACAACTACTTTTTTTTATAGGCAGTAAATACTGATCATACTGTTGGATTTATGCTCCCTAAGGAAAGGTAAATGACCATCTTTTTCTTTCTAGCACAAAGAAGAAATTAAATACTTTTTAATTATGCTTTTCATTGGAAATATTAGGCACTAATATTTCCTGTAATGAGGCTTTTATTTCATATTCTTATACTCTGAATTAAAAAAAAATTCTTATGGATACTTGTGATCTACTATAAACAATAACTTATTAACATTTTAAAAGTTATCTTCGTGAAAGAGATCTATAGTGTGGTAAGAAATTACCACAATGTAATTTTTCTATGATCAGTTTCCTCTTGTCATGATAATATTCAGCCACTTTTCAGTTATTCTAACTTTGGTTATTTGATATATAAGATTATGTAGACCTCTTTTCCCACCTTCTTTTTATTCCTTATTTCATTTATTTTCTTTTTTCTCATTCCTTTGTTAGAGAGGCTGCCTGAAGGGGAGAAGGAAAGAGCTAGCATACATGCAAATAGGATGTAAGGATTTGACTTTTTATTCAGTTTTAGTAATGCTTAGAGACTGTCAAAAATAAAACCAAAATTTTGTTTTAGATTTTCATGGCTGCTAGAGATAGATTTTTTTTTCTTTTGGTGTCCACTGTATAGGTGCTTAATTGGCTATCAATCTGTTACTGATACTCAGATATACTAGACATTTGAATAATCTTACTGATATGTTATAGTTGGAACATGGATATGTCCTTTCTTTAGAAAGGACAATGGGAAAATAAAGTGACATTTTTTTGTTGCCAGGAATCTCTGGGTTTTGTACTAATTAGTCTTGAAAAATGTTAAGTTATTTGACAGACCAGATGTTTTCAGCATGCAGCCATGTGTCTCATCAGTGCATGTGCCTTGTGTCTGCAGGCAACATTGTTGAATTTTTCTCATTCTATAAACAATGTTCCAAAATATAACTAAACCCCAAAGTGTGTTTATCTTTTTGGCTTAATTTCTGGCTTTCTATTCATTCTAAAGTTTCTCTCTAGAGGAATTGCATTTTATTGCACATAGCTCTTCATACCTAACTGTAGTATAAACACCATTTAGTTTATACTAAGTCATGTGGATTGTAGTTGTTTTTGAGTCTGTAAAATTTTAATAAAAGCAGCCATTTCATATTTGACTATTATTTCTGATATTTTTACATATTTTACTACTCTTTTCTTGCATAGCTGTATCATATGTTTAACCAATTTGTTACTAGACAGTCATATTGTTTTTAATTTTCTGATATAAGTAACTGCAGTTTGAGAGATCTACTTTATACATGAATTTTTTTTTTTGGAAAATGTGAGTGTTTTGGTAAAATTCTTTATTGAAACATATCTTTAATAGAAATTTGTTTATCAGCAGGCAGTGAGCTCTCATTTAGTAGATCCTGTGATAACAGTCACTTTAAGAAATGTTTCACATTTTTGAGCAAAAAATTTGTTTTTGATTTACCCTTCTGTCTCCCTTCTGTTTTCCTAACGTGTTGACCTCTTTTTATGACCTTTATTTATTAAGGTGAATTCCTGTGACTTCTTTGTTCATTGTTTTTTTGAAAAATCTCAAATTTATACATTGCAGGTGATCTTAACCAGGTTGTTGTTTCCTCTCTATTTTTATGTTCTTTTTATGCAATAGCTTATTTTATTTTTACCTAATCAACTTTATCAATCTTAGTTTTACAGGACTTTTCTACCTATCAGTCCACTTTATCATAAAATGTCCCTCTGCTGTTGTTTTCTGAAAATATAGCTGTTCCAATACTTTCATGGTCCTTTTTTGCATGGTATATATTATTCCATCTTTAACTTATTTGTATTTTTAATTTGAAGCAGGTTTACTCTAGCCAATATGTAGTAGTCTGATAATGTTTTGGAATTCTGCCCTTTGAATGTATGCCCTTTGGAATTCTTATTAGGCATTTAATATAATTATATCATGGCTGGATTTTGCTCTTTGTATTCTGTGTTTTTTATGTCCCTTTAATTCTTGTTTCTTATCCTTTTTGGGTTAAATATTCCACAGTGTACTATTTAAAAATTTCTCTGTTTATTGTTTTAATGATATATTTTTCAGTTATTTTATTAGAGGTGGCTGTATGGAGCATAGTTTCACTTAATTTACCATAATCTCCTTTGAGTCATTGCTGATGCAATTTTGGCATGATCTAGAGTAGCAGTTTGCTTCAAGTTAGCTCTTTTTCTGTGTGATTATTATCACATGTAGGTCTATATGTTTTATAAACCCAATAATTCAATGTTATGATTATTGCTTTTAAAAAAACCTGTATTTTAACAAAATTTAAAGAGAAAAATACTCAGCTGTTATATTTAGCATAGCATTTACTATTTCCTGTATTTCTTATTTCTTTCTGTAAATTTAAATTACTGTCTTCTGTTTACTTTCTGCTTTACTTTAATATTTCTTTTAAGCTAGAGATGCTAGCAAGGAATTTTCTCAGTCTTTTTCCATGAATATATGTCACTTTCATTTTTAAAGGATAATTATCAGGTAGTGAATGATTTTAGTTGTGTGGGTTAATGAGTGAATTAAAAATTCAGTTAGTTTTTGCTGGTGGGAATGCAAACTAGTACAACCACTATGGAAAACTGTTTGGAGGTTCCTCAAACTGCTAAACATGGAGCTTCCCCAAGACCCAGCAATCCCACTCCTAGGTATCTACCCAAAAGACACAAAAACACTGATTCAAAAAGATACCTGCACCCCCATGTTTATTGCTGCTTTATTCACAATTGGAAAGACATGGAAACAGCCCAAATGCCCAACAATGGATGACTGGATTAAAAAGATGTGGATGTGCAATATTACTCAGCACCCAAAAAAAAGAAACACATGTCTTTTGCAGCAACATGGATGGAGCTGGAAAAGGTCATGCAAGGTGAAATAAACCAGAAAGAAAAGGAAAAATACTGGATGGTTTCTCTCATAGCAGGAATATAACAGAACAGGCAAGAAAATAATGATAATGATGAACAGCTATATACCAGAGACATTTTGAGGGGGTGGAATGGAGAATGGGATCAAAAACAGTGGGGGTAGGGAAATGCACTGGACTATGGTGATGGCACATGGGTGATTTGGTGATGGGAAACCCAAGGGGAGTGCAACTAAGATGGAAAAATGCACAAAAATATGTAAAAATAAACTATTATAAAATTAAAAAAAATCAGTCAGTTTTAATATAGCTCATATTTTGCACATGCGCCTGTGTGTGTGTACACGCTAGTATGCAGAGACATGATGAGGCCCTTGGACCTCTTATTTCGAGGACCTCCTTGTTAAATTTCTGGCTAGTTCCCCAATTTGCCCTTTGTCCAAACCCAAACTAACCTCAGGCCAGTGGAACTAGCGGCTTTCCCTATTTGCTGCTTTTACTAACACCGCAGCTCAATATGGATTCCCTCCTGCCTCCCACTACTCTAAATCATGTCAGTGCCAATGGCAAGGAGCTGCTGGTTTTCATGACAAGTCATAACCAGTGAGGGAGGGGGATGATAAGAGGTGGTGGTGGAGGTAGTCTTAGGCAAGAACACCACCAAGTTCCACTGTTAAGCTTATTTTTCTTGAGTAAACACTTCTCAATTTGTTGTTCCCCTTGGTCAATTTCTAGAGCCTTGACATGGTTGTTTTGGACAGTTTTGTGTAGTTTTATTTGATTTTTGAGTAGAAGATTTGCTAAGCTCTCCCTGTGCCATAGTTGTTGTCTAGTCTTCAATACTTCATTTTATTGAGGTGTTCATTTATTTAGAATTGAACTAATCATTTTTTCTTTCCTTTTAATTATTATGTAATGAATTTTACTGATAGATTTTCTGATTTTTCTATATTCTTAACATAAAATCACTATTTGATTATAACTTTCTAAACTTTTAATGCATGCTCATTTTTGATAACTGGATATTTTTCCAATAGATGTTTTTACTAAAACTTAATTTAGAATTTGTGTTAATGTACACTGACAACTAATTCCAGCTAGAAATTTTGCCTATGGAATATATGTGTGACCTTAAAGCAGAATAAATTGAACTAAAGGTGATACAATTCCTTTTATAGGCATTATCCCGCATTGAAAACTCTGGAACATCTAGAGCATACCTATCTGCCTCAAGTTAGCCACTATCGGTTCTGCAAGGTGATGGTGGACAACATCCCAAAGCTTCGAGAAGAAATTAAGGATGTTTCTATGTCAGATCTCAAGGACTTTCTGGAGAGTATCCGCAAACATTCAGACAAAATTGGAGAGACTGCCATGAAGCAAGTAGGTTTTGGGTTTATGATAGGTTGGCCAATGGCTTTGCAGGTATTCTGTTACACAGGTTTCTTTTCACTAAGTGTCTTAATTTTTTTCTTATCATTTAAGAAAGTCCTTCATCTTTATGTGAATACATCATTAGATAATATGTTTTATTTTCTTAACAGAGCAATAAGTTATTTTTAGTATATTGTCTTGCTCTGTGGATGGTCAGTAAATTCTGGTCTACCATGATGGTTTATATTGGACCTTTGAAGAGGTTTTTCTTATTTTTTGCTTTCTTTCTTTGATATTGGATGTGATTTAAAAGCCCAAGCTTAAGAAAGTCCTCTTTTAAATTAGAGTTAAATTGTGCTATAGGTATGTTGGGTTGGGATTTTACTATGTAAGCAAAATGTCACATTATATATGAATATTTTTGTAATTGTTATTTTGATCTTTTTGGGTGTCAATGAAAAAAGAGCTTTTGGTAAGTGTTATAATTTATGATCACAAAAAGGAATTTATTTGCAGCTTATATATCAACAATTGTGTTATAAATGTTTACACTTTTTCCTTTTAATATCTTTCTCTAAGTCACTAAAGCCACAAAGAACATTTGGATTTCTTATGTCACTATAAATAATAAGAGCAGTAATGATTTGCAGTACTACTTGCTCTTTTGAAGCTTAAGTCACATTGGGTTTATTAAAATATCTTAGTACACCTTATGTTGTAGCCTACAACAATAAATAGAAGATTCAGTTGTTAATGGAATTTTTTTTTTGTGAACAACTATGTTCTTGACTAGGTCATTTGTAGTTCTTACTTTGTGAGGAAGGGTCCTAGTTGTAGTCTCATTTAACTTTGATACTCTACTTTTAGAAGTCTGTTTGATCCTGCAAAAGAAGGAAGCTAGTACTTTTTCCAAAGGGAATGTTGATATTTCCCCCTTTTTTTTAATTTCAATTGCATTATATGTTATAAAATAAAAAAAAGTTATAACTAGTTGATTATAGATATCTGATAGTAAAAATCATGTTTTTTTTTAAATAACTGAGCTCAATTTACTTTTTAAACTATATTTTATTATATATATGTATTTTATATCATTCTTCATTTTTTACATTTTTTTCATCTTGGTAGTAATCCCTATGGACTTCCCAATCAATTAGCCCATGTGCCATCACAAAATTAATCATTAAAAGTATACCTTTGTATAGTTAGGTTTATGTTTTGAATACAGGAATGAAGCTATCTTGTAATATAAGTCTTAGTTGACTAATTTTTCTAAACTTGCAAAATGTAGGAGGCTCTAGTACAAAGCCTCTGTGGATGTTTCCTTTTTAAAAGTTGTCTTTTTTGGTGAAAGTTGTCTTTTTTGGTGTTTTATATAATGTAAGGCTACCTGGTTTCATTTCTTAATTATCTGAAGACATTAAGTCCCACAGTGGGGGAGTGACTTGTTTTAAGTTCAGACTGCATTTAAAGGTTGGTTTTGTAAAATGCAGGTTAGACTGAGATGGCTTTATCTACTTTGCAATTAATTTATTTACGTTATTAACTATTTGCTCTTTTTTTGCCATATAAAAAAAAATGAAGAAAAATTTTGTGAATTTGGGCCTTGGCTGATAGCCATTTATTCCTCCTACTTAGATATTAATTTCAACTGTGACTCTTATTTTATGTTTTGTGCTTTCACATATATAAGATCCTTGTAAACATTCCTCATCTAAAATAAAGGTACTTACACATTTAAAAATTTTCTGTAGTATTAAAAATGTAATGAAAGTAGGAGGGAGAAAAATTATGAATGTTATACATAGGTATTCAACAGATAATTTATTTGAATCCATATATGTTGGAAATGAAGGGGAGGAGTAGTTTTTCACTTCACACTTGTTAAGTCCAAAATGGTGTTTCTGACTTGTGATTGTTTTCTTTGCAATGATGATTGGGATTTTTTCATTATGTGATTCTCCATCTTTAATATAGCTTGGAATTTTGTTGTACAGGGTGACAGACCAAAGAGTATTAAATTTGGGAGGATTTTTAAGGGCTAGGTATGGACATGGCATTTCACTGGTCAGAACTTAATAATATGGCCATACCAATGTAGAGGAGAGACTGGGAAATGAAACAGTTTTGTGAATAGTCTCTGGCAAATTGTACCCTTCTGGTTATCAAATGTCTTAACTCTTCCTCTCATATATAGAACATACTTCCTCCTTTCTGAAGGGAGGCAACTCATTGTCTCATCTGGTCATCCATCTCAAAAGTTTAGTTATTTTCAGTATTCTTCATCCATCTTTTCATGGACTGCTGATAAGATACTAATACAACAAATTGACTGCACCTGTGTTATTCTCATGGCCTTCATATCACAATATACTATGTAGAAACTAGAATTAGAATAGCTGCAACAAAGCTTCATTAAAAAAGGAAAGAATGGGAGATACAGTATCCCTTGCTTTGTAGCCAGTTATCTAATTCTTTTGGGCATGCATTGGGGAATCCTTCTGTCTTGCTAATAGGGGAACATCCTTGCTTAGATGTTCATTCTCTAGAGGAATTCTTTTGCTTATTGTTATCCTGGGCTTCAAGGCCTAAATTTTTTTGAATTCTTCTGTTCCCTGTAATTTCAGTTTACAAGTCAGCAAAGCCTTTTCTGCTTATGCCTTTTGTGTAGTATCTTAATAAAAGCAGAAAGTAGTGCCTGCATGACCTTAGTATAGGCCCAGCAGGTGTGCTTTTTCATTTATTATGGATTTCAGTTTTACCAGTGATTAGCTGGTGTTACAGGACTCTCCAGACTTTTGACATATTAAGTATATATCCTTGCTCCCTACTATCCCAGTGATATTTGTTTAACTTTTGTTATTATGGTGGCACCATTCTTCTACCACTAGTTTCTAGAATAATAATGCCAGTTACCATGACTCAGCTCTAGAATATCACTACAGGTATTTATTTTTTGCTCATGTAGAGTCCAAAAACATTCCTCTTGGTAGACTCTTCTACAAGTGATTTTTAGGGATATGGAAGGGCTCTACCACCTCAACATATGACTTCCAGGGTATAGTAGTAGAGAAAAGAGTAAATAATGCCTAGAGGTTTTTTGTGGACCAGGTTTGTAAATAAAACATTATTTCTACTAATATTACACTGCCTGTTACTTACACATGGTTAAGTGAGGCTTTTAAATTAGTCTTTGTGGTTAGAAGGATGAGGAAATGAGTTCATTGATTAGCTAGCTTAGTCTCTGCTACAACTTGCTATCAAATATTCTAGAAAAAAATACATATTTTCCATGTCTCTTGCCTTTTTTCCCACAGTTTCATTCCTAAATCATCTTACTGTTGTTTGCCTTCTGACTTCTAATTCATATTTTAGTAATATCCATGCCTATTGTCAGTACTTTATCATTATTGAGTTCAGTTATGGTTTTTGGTTTTAAAGAATTTGTTATTGTCTTACCAAATTTTTAGTAGCATTTTTCAGAATCATCTGAGAAGACAGGTTTAAAGTCTTATTTAATATTGGTAATTGGCTTAGACTCTTCTAGAAATATGTCAGTAACTGTGCTTTTTATCAGTGGACATCTCTGCTTTCCTTCTTCCATTTTCTATATCCTGAATGGCTTGAGGGATCTGTGGGCACTCTTGGTCCTTGGTACAGTGAAATGATGGAGGTAGTTGATAGGTTGATTTCTCTTTGGGGTAAACCAATCAAAACATACTCTACAACAAGCACTTCAGAATAATTAAATTTTAATCAGAAAATTGGGCTCCATACTTTTACCTGGATTATAATTTCAAACTTTTGTCTAATTTTATCAAAAGATACCATGATATTTATATACACATGATATGAGGATATGTAGTTTTTTTCATTAATTTCTCTGTATTCAAGATTTTATATTGTCTCTGCCTAAAATTTTATCATTAGGAAGTTAGTGGCTCTGATTGCATGAATTAGGCAGATTTTTAAGATGGCTCCTGAGATTCCTGCCACATGGTTTATGAAATTGATTAAAAGCTCCTCCCCTTAAATGTTTGGGCCTAATGTGTTCAGGTGATCATCTTTAAAAGATGCCTAGAAGTCAGGTATAGAAGTTACAGAAATTCAAAGCTGTAGCAGATGCTCTGCTGTTAATCTTGAAGAATCACACTCTCATGTTTTAGAGAGGGCCATGTGAACAGAGAATTGTAGGCAGTCTTGACTTGCTAAGAACTATCCCTCATGGATAGCCAGTAAGCAAATGGGGACCTGAGTGTACACTCATAAGGAACTGAATCCTGCCAACAATGTGAATGAATTTGGAAGAAGATACTGAACTCCAGATGAGATTGAAGCTCTGACTGACACATGAGCTCATACTGGTGATATCTGGAGCACAAGACTAGCAAAAACATGTTGAACTCCTGACCCGTTGAATCTCTGGATAATAATTGTGCATAATTCTAAGCTGCTAATTTGTTGGACTTTGTTATATGGCAGTAGAAGACTAGTATATTCTATTATTTTGGCTTCAAATAGAATTACTTTTTACTGATCAGCACATTTATATTTTACTTTTAGATCTAGGAAACAATGGTATGGTACAATTTAAAACAGGATTTAGTTAGAATTCTTGAGTCTCCTCCCTGTCTTTGTAAACCTAGGAAGCTGCAGAAAAATGAGAAAATAATGCTTGAAAAATATCAACATATTGAGTATGTCTTATTTTCGAATTACTTGAGCTTAAAGCGATTTTATAAAAATCTCTGAAGAAGTTCTTTGTTAATTGTCTGCTGTTTTCTAGTTTCCTTTTGAAATTGATTTCTACAATTCACTTGTTATGGAATTGATTTGTGCAGGAGGGAAGTTCTGTATTTCTTATTTTGATTAGCTTGCCTTAGGCTTTGTGCAGCTAAATAACATTTGCAATGTAAACATTCTTGGCTAGATTGATTTCTGTGTGAGGCCTTTTAACAAAGGCAAGGATTTATTTACTTTTAAAATTCTACCTTGGCTTTGCCAAATTG